AACATGAATAAGGCACTCATTCTTTAAGGCCCTTACTAGTTCCAACAGTCTATAGTCAGAAGCAAAGCTCGTTAATTAGGTGGATGGGGCTGTTTGGGGTCCAAAGCAAGGCGAGATTATATTGTAGGGCAACAAATTTTCCCATGTGGTTGGTAAATTGACTCCAACGTTCTGAGCAAACAGCACTGCTGAATACTGTCTCCAGGGTCCCCAAGCCAAAGCACAGCACCTCCAGGGCTTTGCCTGTTGCTGGCACATGAGTCTCATTGCTTCAGAGCCCCATCACACAGCTCCCCGGCCTTGCGAGTTAGCTGTGATGTGAGAGTTGCCGCTAAGCATGTAACTGACGCTCCCTTTTCTTTTTCTTTTTAAAGTGTATTTATTTTGACTTCAAACAAGAAGTTGGAAGGATGACACCGTGAATATCTATAGGCCTTTCACTTAAATTTACCAGTTTTACCTTGTTTTAATATCACTCTATCTAGATGTTATAATGATCATTATATTTGCTGAATCATTTGAGAGTGAACTGCAGACATCACGACCCTTTATCCCAAATCCTTCAGCATGTATGAACATTTTCCTACATAACCATCATGCGATAGTCAAATTCAGGAAACTTACCATGGTTACAATGTTATTATCTGACATATTGTCCATATTTAAATTTTACCAGTTGCCCCAGTAATAGTTTCCTTACAGCGATATCTTTTTTCCCATTTAGGCTTCAACCATCCATGATCCCACGGGGTATTTAGTTGTCACGGCCTCTTTAGTTTCTTCTATCTGGAACAGTCCCTCTGCTTTCTGTTGTCATTCGTGACACAGATTTTTGAAGTGTACGGGGCCAGTTGTCTTGCAGAGATGTCCCTGAGCGTGGGTTTGTCTGAGGATGTTTCCTCGTACTTGGGTTCATGTTACTCATTCTGGGGCAGGAACCCCGAGAAGTGGTGTAGGGGTCACTGATCAGGACCCTCATGACTTGGACCCCTTGGTTAAGGAGGAGTCTCTCAATTGTAACAGGGCCATATTTTTCCCCCTTTGGAATGAGCAAGTAAACCCGAGTTTTCAAGAAGTCCAAGTTTGGGCAAGTTTATTTCACAAGCACACTGGAGGGGGCTGGTGACCTCCACGCCTCGGCCTTGGCACTGCTCTCCAGCTGGGGGTTTTGAAAATGGAGTTCTGGCTTCGAGCTGTGCAGCACAGAGCAGCTTTCTGTCTGTCCTCACGAGGATAAAGAATTCGGTGCATGGATGCTTGCCACCGGCCGGGAATGCCAAGTGCTGTTTACCAGCCTTGGAATCGCCCCGTGGCGTCAGGCATTTAATGCTTCCCGAGGCTGACCGCTCCCAGCAGAGGCACTGCCATGGGCCGTGGCAGATGCGTGGGCAACATTCTGCTGAGGAGGGTGGTTTCAGTTCCCTTTAAAAACCTCTGTTATTTTCCACTATGAGCTTGAGGCCTCGCCTTCAGGGAAAAACGTCCCAGCAAGGGAGCCAAGGATTGGAAAGGGTTAAGAATGAAAAGACCCTCTCTCTGGACAGGGCCTGCTGGTCCATTTATTTTGTTTATTTGGGTCCTCCTGCTTCTTTTCTTGGGGAGCCTGGCCTTCTGGGGCACAGAGTACCCATCTCTGGAGGTCTCAGGCTGGCTTCTCAGCTCTGCCCTAGAGGAAGGCAGATGGAAAGGTGAGGTTCAGAGAAGCGAAGTAATCCATCTCAACTCTTGGAGCTGGAAGAGCTGACTCCACCTAGGTCAATCCAAGTTCCTGATTTGAAAAAAGCACTTTTTAAAAAAAACTTTTCTGTGATGCCATTGCTGCTTCCCTGAGGAAGTTGGGAATTTTTTTTCTGAGGAGGTTTTAGGAAACGGAAGCTGTCTCTTGAAATTGGTAGGGCCTTGACCTTCTGAGAACATCCCTGATTAAAGTATTATTAAATACTTATGTGCAAAACGCTTTTCCTCAGGGAGCCTACAGTCTAATAGCAGAGTGACAACAACAACAACAACAACTGTCAGTTCTGCCGCTTCCTAGCTGTGTGATCTTGGGCAAGTTATTGAACCTCTCTGTGCCACAGATTCCTTATCTATAACATAAGGATAATACGTTACCTCTCTCATAGCATTGTTGTGAGGATGATGTTAGTTCACACATATAATGTGCTTGGCACATAGTCAATACTGTGTTAGCCATTTCTATTGATACCTACTTTGTGTTAGGCATTGTATATGTATTGTACCCACTTTATCTCTTTTGATTTCTACAACTCCATGAGGTGGGTATTATTTTTCTCACAGACATAGAAACTGAGGCTCAGAGAGGTTAAGCAATATATTCAGGGTCACACAGTAGGGCACAGGAATTGGAGACCCTGGCAGCTTGGCGGGTTTCGGGCTCCAGCCCGGAAATGATCTTACTCATTCGCCTTTTTAGGGGTTAGGGGTAGGTTCCAGGCCTCAAGTAAAGAGATCTCTTGGCCCAGGTTCAGCCTCCTCAGCTGCTACCAGCCCCTTTTGCCTACTCCCGAGGTTTTACTCTTCCAGGATGATGATAAACCAGGGAGAAATGGCATTCAAATCATTTGCATTATAATCAGCCCCACTTACTGTCCCCAACCAAAGTTCAGGAGGCCTGGAGGCCCCTTCTACCACCCCATCCAGTGGACAGGCTGCCCTCCAGCTGCAGGAATGTAGGCCAGTGGCTGTGGGGCTTCTCTCTAGGGGAGGGCCTAGGAATGGGAGGGGGCTCCAGGAAGGGGTTTTGGGCAGGACAGATTTGTTCTCAGCCTTGGAAGGTCTTCCTTCTTATCCCTTTGCTTTCTGGCCTCCTGGGCTGGAAGGCTGAGGCCTATTCAAGCCCAGTTTGAGAACTTGCAAGCCATCAGCTGGGTCAGCGAGGAGGACTTGCTCTGTCCCAACCACCCACCACCTGTATCCCTCCCAGGGGGAAGGAGAAGGAACTGGGGCCTCCATCAGGTTGGACCACTGGCTCTTTACTCCAGGGATCATGGGGGCCTGAGGGAAAAAGGAAACAAAAAGCAATCTATGGGTAAAAACAGAAGAGCGATCCCGGGACAGGGCAGAGGGGGATGTGGCCTGGCCGGGGTGGGGGGCAGGGAGGGAGAGACAGAGCTCCCTAGGAAGAGGGGAGTGGTAAGGGGTTAGGTTTGGAATGAGCAGCTGGGAACTTGACAGGGCATGGAGAAGAAAGGAGAGGAGAGAGGACCTACAGGGAGCAGGGACAGCGCCAAAGGGCTTTGAGGAGACTTTAGCCGGGCTCCCCATCTCTATTAAGTCCCCTCTGGTGCCCCAAATGAATTTACAACCTAAATAAAACAATGCTCATGCAACGTCAAGCTTTCCCGCTCCAGCCAGAAATCAGATGACACCCTTAAGACCCTCATAGTGTAATCCTGGGCCGCCAGTGTCCAGGGAATAAGAGAGCCTCCCAAGAGACTCACAGTCCCAGAGAAGTGGGAGGGAGCAAGGGAAGGAGGGCCTGGGGAGCGGAGTGGGTGCAGACAGGACAGTCTCTGGGGAGCATCTGTTGCCACGCCCCGTCCGCCTGAACTGCCAATCACCAGGCCGCATCCAGGTTCGCGTGACTCGTTGCCAGGCAGATTTTTATCCATCGCGGGGCAGCTGTCAGCCGCTAGCCCCGTGGTGCCCGAGTTGGGCAGGGCGCCCGGCACAGCGGGGAGGAGGGGAACGAAGGCTCCGGGGTGGGGTTCAGGGGCGGGTGTCGGGAAGTCTTTCCAAGCCCGGTTCAAACCTCCCAGGGAGGGCGTGGCCACAGGAGCTAGCCCCCTTTCCCTGGTGGGTCCCTAAGCCCCAAGCCTTGCAGGGAGGGACACATACTTCTCCCTAAAATCAATGGATAGCTTTGTACTTGGAGTAACTGCTGTGCTGGAGAGGGCTAGGGCCCTGTATATTAATACTTTGGGATATTTACATTTAAAAAGAGAGCTCTGGAGCCTTGAGGGATGGGTCACTTTTGGTGGTTATTTCAGGTCTTTGGGCAGGCCAGCTCCTGGTGTTTTGGGACAGGAGAACCACTTAAAGCCTCACAAA